TATATTAGATTAAGAACCCTCATTTTTGCGGGTTCTGTAATTTGATCTTTTATAAACCTGTGAGATTAAAATATTTAATTTTATGTAACAAAATTAGATAATCCGTTAAAGTAAATAAATAAAAATGAGAAAGTTGATGCATATATTTTGACATGTATCTTTTTTTTGTCATCACTGGAAGATTTATATTAAACATGAAAAAATAAAAGGTAGGACACAAAGCTGGATAACCTAGAATCAGAGCCTGAGAGTTTTACGGGAAGCCGAACCCTAAAGTTTAAGGGAAACTAATCGAAACTAAAAACAAAATGGAGGAAAACCACAAACACATAGAAAGACAACTACAAAGTCTAGATCACTACCCAAAACAAACAAGGCCTCCTAAACTTTCAATCGGATCCTGCAAGCTTATAAAGACGGATGACCAAACTAACAAGAAACTAAATGGTAAGAGAAGACAAGAAGAAGTCATAAAACACAAAACACAGGAAGAGATGAATCTCTCACTTAACCCTCGTCCCAAGTCATTTACAACCGGCAAAGCCATGAGTTCAATCCAAACATCCAAGACAACTGCACGATCCTTTTCCACATAACACCTAAAGCCTGACAGACATGAAACTAGTTCAAAGAAACCTTCAACACCAATCAAAACGACCAATGCAGAGGAGAGGATAATCCAACCAAAGATGGGTCTTCACATGAGAGAGAGAAAGGAGCTTGAAGCAACAACAAGTCAAACCAACCGAGAGCACGCCACAGACTAGCGGAGAACGAAGAGAGAACGAAGCGACATCAAGGCCAAAGCCAGATAGGCCGGTTACGGAACCGCCAAAACATCCACCAACGACCAACCGTAGAGACAGAAACAGATTCAGATCTGGATCGAGTGAAAGTTTATCGACCGAGACAAGTTTTGGGAGAGATCGAAACTACATAGACTTGCAAACGAAAAAACAAGAGGAGCACGGCTCCGGTGCTTTGGAAGCCACTGAAACCGATCACACACGCTCCGATCTAGGTCTCCTCTCTCTCTAAATATCCGGGTATGTACAAAAGTAATTCACATATTTTGACATGTATCTAAATCTAATAATAAAATAATCACTAATACACGTGTTAGATTATATCACATATTTTCAAATAATTAGATTTTTCTGATACTATTTAAATTAGGTTTAGATTTTCCTAATCTTATTTAAATTAAGTTTACTTTTCACTACTATACTATTATACAAATAAAGATAAATCAATAAATCTTTTGACATATAGTTAAATCTAATTAAAAATATTTTTTTACACTTATATACACATATTAAAATTTGATTAACCGACTTAACACGTATTTAATATTAATTATGAAGTTTGATGTATCAGACTTTATATAATAAGATATAAATAATGTCCTCGTTAAACTCCCAATTTACAAAATACAAACCGGTGATGATCGTATTAATTGTCATTCAGTAAAAGCAATAGGTGCCACGTAACTAAAAAGTTATTAATTTTGGCACGGTGTGTAAGCCATGCATAAGTTAAAGGGTTAAAAGATAAATAAAAGATAAATTGAAGGACTAAATTGAAAAGTTGAGTTTTACCGGAAAAGAGCAGGAAACGTAAAAAGTAGAAGAAGAACGCATATGGGAAAAAACGTGTCGCAGAGTGGCGAATCACGCGACGAGTCTTGACTCGCC